ATGTTAACATCTTTCGTGTACATGTTCACATATATGATGTATAGGTTGCGGACATCATTAATGTAGATGTTAAAATCATTTTTGTAGATGCTAATATCAATTATTTCTATGTTGTTAACCCTATTAAAGATGTTAACATCTTCAAAAAGATGATACCATCTACATTATTGATGTTAACATCTAGATTTGGGATGTTAGCAGCTACAGTAATGATGTTAACATTTAGATTAAAGATGAAAACATCTACCTTATAGTAGATGTTAACATCTTTAAAGTGCATGCTAACATCCTTTAATCTAAATGTTAAAATCCTTAACGCAAATGTTAACATTATTACTGTAGCTGTTAACATCCCAAATCTAGATGTTAAAATCACTAATGTAGATGTTACCACTTTTTGAAGATGTTAACATCTTTAGAGTAGATGTTAACATCCTTTAATCTGAAAATGTATACGACTTGGTGTTATCTCTGACCCTAATGTTACAATCAATATTTGACTGGGTGTTTTTGTTCCGTTATAAATGTATAGTTTTTCACTTAACGAAGCGATTTCCGTCAAAGTGCACGTATGTCATCGCTATTTACAGTGCATTTAGGTTAAATTATGTATTACACAGCCCACTCATGGTATGGAGTCATTTTATTGTTGGGAGTCAGTGGAACATTAGGAGTCATTACAATGTAATGAGTCATTTAAAATGTACGGAAAAATGAATTACATTATAATAATGCAGGTAGTCACGTCTATGATGGATGGTGTATTCAGGATGGGGTGGTTATGGTGGGGTGGTTATGGTGGGGTGGTTATTGTGGGGTGGTTACGGTGGGGTGGTTAGAGTGGAGTGGTTATGGTGGGGTGGTTACGGTGGGGTGGTTATGGTGGAGTTTTAGGAGTGTTTCAATGGTGGAGCTATTCACCGTTACGTTTTGTTTTCACCGCCACACCTGTTGCCTGCACCTGACAGGTAGGTGAGTCACCCTCCTGACATATGGTACAGACAGGTGAGTCACCACCTGACATATGGTACAGAATCTAAAAACTAAGACTAGACACTTTCATGGTGATTGTTTTATGTTCTTTAAAGGTAAATGTGTTGCCACATTATATCACACCAGCACACACATACATCAACCTTAACGGTATGTTAGCAAGTTCTCTTTATATATACACACATACATATACATATATATATATATATATATATATATATATATATATATATATATATATATATATATATATATATATATATATATATATATATACAGAGTTTCTTCCAGGCATCTCTTCACCCCCCCCCCCCCCCCCCCGAACGAAATGAACGAAATAAAATTTATATAATTTATATAGAAAATATATACTTTTAACAGTGTCCGCCCCCCCGAAGAAAGTTTACCGCCCCCCCCCGAAAATTTCAAGTGCCCCCCGGAGAAAAAAGTCTGGAAGAAACACTGTATATATATATATATATATATATATATATATATATATATATATATATATATATATATATATATATATATTTATTTATTTATTTATTTATATATGTATGTATATATATATATATATATATATATATATATATATATATATATATATATATATATATATATATATATATATATATATGTATATATATTAGAAGAAGTAGAGAGTGAGAGACTCTATACGCACACATAAATTACGATACATTACTCACTTAACTACAAATAATTGGATTGTGCTAATTAATTCTAACGAGTATGTACATATAGGTAATTAAAGTAATGTATGCACGTTGTAATAAAAGTAGAGAACAACTTGGTAGCACCTGTTACGTCACAAGCTGTCGCTGGATGGTTCAGGTATGTCTGTGTTCTTTTGGTTTAAAATTAACTTTCAGTGTGAGTCACCCACGTGCTGTATGTTTAGCTGTCAGTCGGTGTGATGGGGGGGGGGGGGGGTTACTGCGATGTGTGTAGGGGGGAGGGGTTACTGCGATGTGTGTGTGGGGAGGGGTTACTTTGATGTGTGTGTTGGGGGGATTACTGCGATCTGTGTGTGGGGGCACTGAGATGTGTGTGTGTGGGGGGGGGGGGGTACTGCAATGTGTGAGGTTAATACGATGTGTGTGTGGGTGGGAGGTTACTGCGATGTAATCCAACTTTTTATCGACTCTGGTTGTTAATATATTTTAATAAAGGGCAATAATAAACAAAGGGAGACAACTGAACATGTTATTGAACAATGCATGGACGAAACGAAGAGATGAATAACGACATTGGACTAAATCAAGACATATTTTATTGACTTGTAGGTTAATAGTTGCATGTTGTTTCATTTCGTCACACATCTACAGGAACTAGGTATTCAATAAACAGAGGTATCGGACCAATCAAACACAAGTAGGTCAAGACCAGTATAAAAATAGATTATAATTATAGTGTTATCAGGACGAGCAAGTCATCAATAAAAATTTCGATTGCAAACCATTTTTAAAAGCAAGCACAACTATTTCCTCTCCATTTATAATACGTATCCATAATACAATTTGGGAATACATTTTTTTTAAAAAATCGAGTAAAATGTGCCTCCACATAGATTCACTGATTGTATTCCACGAATTGAAATGCTTGTAGGTAAAAAAAAAAATGTGGTTTTAAATGTAATATTTATTTTGACTTGCACGTCTTTTTAAAATAACCAAGACAATCAAGGGGGACAACTGTACAAGGGCAGAATTGCACGTTTACTTGGCTGGTTATCGTTCTTGCATTCACCTTTCTCAAATGTTACACAAGATAAAACAATGTAACGAATGAATAAAATATAATCTCTGAAGTTAATGGTACATCTTTCACCGAATTGCAATACATGGCGAGTGTGTCGTCCGTCTATATTTAGCAAGCGACATTTTGTTAGGTGCTAAAAAAACAATAAAAACGGTTACATAATCTTTAATTAGTTAGTAAATTACTATGTACAAATTGGTTCATTAAAAACTGAGACATGATCATTGATTAATACTGATTTCATTTTAACACTTATTAATCAGGTAAATATATTTAATTATGAACAATGTTTTTTAAACATGTGTTTATTATGTCTAATAGTGTTGAGTTAAACACAAACCTATGCTTACAACACCTATGTGTTTGCCTGTTTAAAAACGGTTTTACTTTTTTAAAAACAAAAATCAGCATGTTTACTGTATAACTAGTATGCGTACGATATACTTTATATGCAGCGAACGCATGTCAAGCACCAATTCATGTTGGCCTAAGATGTGTGTTAGAGTTATTGGCCCTGAGCTACTACTACATGACAAGCAGTGGAACTACAACGAGTTCATGTTGATGTAGATGAGTTTGATTGGGGGTTCAGGTACTCAACTTCTAGAACTAGCAGACCTTAGGAGTGGCTGTAAGCTGTTGCAGAACTTCGTCCCATTGATGGGGTGTAAGATAAATAGACTGTCAACATTACAGTCAGTCAACATATCGGCAACATCAACCAATCATCATATCGGCAACATCAGCCAATCATCATATCGGCAACATCAGCCAATCATCATATCGGCAACATCAGCCAATCATCATATCGGCAACATCAGCCAATGAAATTATCGGCAACATCAGCCAATCAACATCCCACAATCTGATTACATCAACATTAATCAACATTACAATCAATCAAATGACTTAAGTCAACATTACAATCAATCAAGTGACTTAAGTCAACATTACAATCAATCAAGTGACTTAAGTCAACATTACAATCAATCAAGTGACTTAAGTCAACATTACAATCAATCAAGTGACTTAAGTCAACAACAGATGAGTTGAAGTGCCACATAATCAAGTGCATTAATGGGCTCTTAGATATATTTATATACACAGATATTTATAATTAAATAAAGTGCAAGTTCTATACACCTATAAAACAACATAGGTATATTGTGTCGGATATTACTAGACATGGGTCAAGCTAGTTAAACTACTGTCGCTACTACGGTACTGTTTCAGCTTAAGTCCGAGACTTGTGTAGGTAAAAGTGAGTAGTTGGTGGCAGGAGAGAATGAGTGTAGATCTAGAACATGGTGAGATCGTTGTACCCTAACTGGGGGGTCGGGAGTGATTGATCTAGTACATGTCTAATCACAGCCCCATCTTTGCATTATTGTAAAATGAAAGTTCTAGACCAAATCTAATGATTGTAAAATGATTGTAAAATGATTGCTCCGCTATTTAAAGCATAGAAAACCCTTGTAAATCTAATCTACTAGATAAATGGCCCGTTGAGGAAGGGTACAACGGGCGCTAGGCTGATAGTGCTGTCTCTTTTCTCTAAACTAAAACCAACCCACCCCCCACACACCACCCCCACCCCCACCCCACCCCCCACCCCCACACACCACCCCCCACCCCCCACCACACACCACCCCCACCCCAACCCCTCACCCCCACACACCACCCCCTCCACACACCGCCCCCCCACCCCCCACCCCCCCCAAAAAAACATGTCTACCGTCCCATTCAACGAAATATAATTATATACTTTTTCCAGTGTCCGCCCCCTCCCAGAATATTCTACCCCCGCCCCCGAAAATTTCAAGTACCCCCCACCCCTCTCCGGGGAGGAAAAAGTCTGAAAGAAACACTGAAACCAACCCACCCCCCCACACACCACCCCCCACCCCTACACACCACCCCCCCCACCCCTCCACCCCCCCCCCCCCAACCCCCCCAAAAAAAAACATGTCTACCTTCCCATTGCAAGAAAACCACTTTTTAGATTAGACACATTAATTAGGCTGTAATTTTATTATAGAGTATCGATGAGGAAATTTCTTTTGAGTTGGGGAGGGGGGGGGGGCTCAGACGTTCTTACGCGGGGGGTGGGGCTTCGCCCCTACCCGAAGAATTGTATGCAAGAAACTCTTCACGCAAACCATTTAGATTAGACAACATTTCCTTTTTTTCAATGTTTACGCGATAATCAATGACGTCATATTACTGTGTGCACTCTCTGGTTTGAGATTATGTTCTACTCTACGCTAAATGTGTCGACGTCATATTTCGTTTTTCGAATTACTGTGCATGTTTTTATTTTGCTTGTGTTTTCTCTAGAGCGTTCTTGTCAGACAGAGCGTTCTTGACAGACAGCGAAACTATTATTATAGAGATTAGCCGGTTTAATTAGTGCGCTAGGTAATTTAGTAGTGAAATCAACATAATAACTATGTACATATTATAAAGTAGACATACGCAGCTGACATAAATTAAACACATACATACATATGTAAGAGTGAAAACAAAAATTACATACGCATCATGTACCATAGAATGTAAACACAAACCTAGGGTTATTGTCAAAACTTTTTTTTATAAGAGTTTCTATAACAGGTTCTATAACAGGTTCCCGGTACAAGTGGGTTCCCTGCAAGTTACGGTTCCCTATGTAACAATGTCAACACTAGATTGGGTAATAGGTTCCATTGAAAACACGTATGGTATGTTCCCGGTGTGAGTTCCCTATGTAACAAGTTCCCTGTACACGACAAGTTCCGTGTATGACAAGTTCCCTGTATGACAAGTTCCTAGTGTTCACTGTATGATAAGTTCCCTGTAAAGTTCCCTGTATGACAAGTTCCCTGTGTTCCCTGTATGACAAGTTCCCTATCTGACATGTTCCCTCTGTACAAACGACCTCAGCATTTGTCCACCACGCAATAAAAAACAAAACAATAACAACAATCAGACTGACATTTCAGAACGAGGCCAAGAAACAAAACTTTATTAACTCGGGTCGATAAAAAACCAGCACGTTCAATCCCACGAAAAAAAAAATGGTTGTTGTTTTTCGTTTAATTTCCGATTAGTGTCCCACTCTGCTAGATTAGTTTGTTCAGACTTTGTCAGTATGCTACTGTTTGCTTCTGTATTTCCAGTGGGGTAATTCGCTACTAGCATAACTCAGGTTCTAGAAACAGTGGTGTATCTAGGTTTACACGGAAAAGATGAGTGAATTCAAGGGTGTGACCTACTGATCTACTTTACCTACTCTACTTAAGTTTCAAACTCGCTTAAAAAATTGATTTCATTAATTAAAAAAGCAGAACTTTTTAAAGATGTAATGTCATCCAGATGCCAATCAATGTGAAGAGACTCTCATCGATACATTCAAATCAATTTTAACCAAAGATTGTTGTTTAAAACTAGCTGACACCTAACACGCTCTATATAATTTTCTGCATTTGTCCTAGCTAGCCTATGGGAATATGCACTACATTGACACTTTTAAATAGCGCCTTATGTTTTTTTTGTAAAAATCAATCACTCCTAACGCGTTCTAATGCTTTGATAAAAATCAATATTTACTCAACATTGGCAATACCGAAGAAAAAGCGCAATGACCGAGAAAAATGAAAGTAGCAGTAAATGTTATGTTAGCTGATGATAGTAGCAGTATGCATTATGTTAGCTGGATGGTAAGATGGGAGGTAAGAGAGATGGTTTGGTTCAAATCTAGGGAGGAAATAATGGTGTTGCATACGTTCAAACAGTACCGGTATGAATAAGATACAACGTCAACACTCCTGAAAGTGCCAGAAGTCACACTTTTCTTGTAGCTCAATGCTGAGTATTATTGGTAGGTATGTTAAACAGTCTAGCAGGTAAACAGTCCAGTCAATGTATGCTAGACACAAACAGTCCAGTCAATGCTTGCTTAACACAGGCGAACAGTCCAGTCAAAGTATGCTAGACACATGAAACAGTCCAGTTAACGCATGCTTGAAAAATAATTGACAATTTATTATGGTAATTTAAACAACCTAGAAAAAAATGTCTGTATAAAATGACACGTGAAAAAAGTGTGACAGTTCGTCGAACTTGTGACAAACACCATTACATGAAGGGTGTGGCAATACATTTGGTTTATAAATAGTCCACAGAAAAAAAGTTCCTAGTTCTTGTAGCTAGTGGCGCTGTTATCATCTGGCTAATGTCATATTGCACTTGTAGAGTTCTGGAACTTGTGTCTGGCAGCACACGCGACTGTCAGGTGACTCGATCCTTGTAGGTGTGTGCAGGTGTGGTGGTTCCTGTGTGAGTGACTAGAGAGATGCGACTGTAGTGTGGTAGAGAGATGCGACTGTAGTGTGGTAGAGAGATGCTACTGTAGTGTGGAGCTTTAGATTCTTACGACTCGGATCTCTAGAGAACATACACAAGAGAGTCCATAGGAGTCCATGATAAATATAGAATGATAGTCTATAATGTGATGATAAACAGTTTTAGATCAACGCTTCAGTTTGTGATGCTGATAGGTCTTCGGTTGATCCGTTGGTGTGGTGGGCACTATCTGGGGAGTTGATGATGATCGTTGGTTTGCAAGGGGAGGGGGAGGTGACGTCATCGTCGAACGACAGGGAGGAAGGCACTTCGGAGAAGGGAGGGGGCTGGGGGAGGTTGTCGTCCGAGTTACAATGGACGTCATTGTTTACTGGGTTGCTAGGGGTGGGGTAGGAGTCGAAGCTCGAGTCATTGTTGGGGGTGGGGGTGTTGACGGGGGAAGACAGGCTGTCCTCGGGGCTGATGAGGTCCTCCACGTTGATGGCACCGTTGGAAGGCAGGCTGGCACTGTCTGGAGCCTCGGGCACGCCAAAGTCGACAGGTGAGGTCGCGAGGTCGGCTAGGTTGGCGACGTCTTGGCGAAACACAGCCCCAGGGTCGTAGCTGGACAGTGACTCGGACACGCTGCCCTGGGCAGATGTGTCCGTGATGTCTGACACTGGGCTGCCCCGTTCCACTTGGCTGGAGTCGGTGGTGGTCATTTCCTCCTCCTCGTTCTCCTGGCTGGAGGGCGAGCTGATGCCAAGGTCGTTGCTGAGGGCGGACTGGCTGTTGAGGACAGATCCCGTGCCGTTCTCTGTGACGATTTTAATGGCGTCCTGAACGGCCTTGGCCGTGACCTCCATGGCGACCCGCTGGATGGACTCGTCGTCGTCCTCGGCGTTGTTGTTGGCGATGTTGTTGTTGTTGTTGTTCTCGTGCACGCTGTTGTCTACAGGGAAGGTCAAGGTTGGCGGGGTCAGAAGCTCGTCCTTGTCGACAAGGTCACCCTGTGAAATGCTGCTACTGGAGCTGTCGGTGCAGGGGGAGATATCTGACTCCTGGGGGGGTGGGGGAGAGAACTCCTGAGGGGAGGTGTCAGATTCTTGGGCTGGGGGAGAGAGCTCCTGGGGGGAGGACAGAGATGAGGAGGACTGCTCAGACCTCTGGGGTGAGGCAAACATCACTCCCCTCTTCTTGGGTGCCAGAGTTTCTTCCCCTCGCTCCACGCTGACCTCTGAGGAACTCGACGCCTCGCTCGGTTCCTCCTGGAGGCCCATAGACTCAGAGACCAAGCTCGTGGCCTTCTCGATGATCGACTCCACAAAATCCCTGGCGGTGGCCTCCTGGGCAGCGTCCAGATCTAAAGACGCACTCAGGCTTTCTTTCTGCTCGTCGTCTGCTGATTCCAGACTGGCGTCTGCTGCTGGACTGCTGAGGCTTTCAGGCACCTCTTCCTGGGCTAGAGCTGCTTCCTGTGCCTCAAAGCTATCTTGGCTCTCCACACTAACACTTTTACTTGCTTCAATGACAGCCTTGGATTCGTCGATAGAGTTTCTGTGAGCCTCGAGAAGTGATTTGGCTTTGTCCAAGAAGTTTTGCTCAGCCTCTGGTTTTGGTTGGTCCTCTACCTTGGTCGCTGGGGCTTCAGACAATTCTTCTGCTGCCTTCACTACTTCATCTTGGGCAAGTTCAGCGCCTGCTACCAAAACTTCAGAAGCAAGTGTCTCCAGCCCAGCTGCTACGGGCTCTGTGGGTTCTGGTGCCAGCTGGATGTTGTCAGTGGCAAGACTTCCGGCATCAGCGACGACCTGGGTTGTGTCATCGGTCACCTGCTCGATGTCGTCAGCAGTGGAGGCGGTGGCATCGACGGCAGCAACAACCGCTTGTGACGCTTCATCTTTCAACACCTGGACGCCGGATGACGCTTCACTCACGGCGGCGTCAACAGCTTCAACAGTGGACTCAACACGTTGATCAGCATCTTCGACAGCTTGTGACGTCACTTCCTGTCCGGCCGCAACTTGATCTTGTGCCCATCCACCAACACTAGACGCTGCTTCAGCGAGTTTGTTCCCAACAGCTTCAGCAGCGGTTGTTGTTGCCTGTTCTACAGTTTCAGCAGCGGATGTTGTTGACTGTTGGACAGATTCCACGGCAGCCTGTTTGGCATCTTGAGCAGCCAGAGTGGCAGAAGCCTTGGCCTCATCAAATTGTTCCAGGATCTGCTCTGCCAGACCTTTCTCCGCCTTGCTGCTCTCTGAAGACGCGAAGTCTAGACTATCCGTCATCGACTGACTGAAATCTTCTTCCAGACTTGTGACGTCGTTCTTGGCAGACTCGAGGTTAGCAGCAGCAGACGTACCCAGGGTCTCAGCTTCAGCTTTCACTTCCTCAACTTGTGACACCGAGCTAACTACAGCAGCTTGGGTAGTGGCTGCAGCACTTTCTACACTGTCACCAGCAGACTTTGTCGTCTCGGCTACAGAGGTTTCAACGTCCTGTTTAGCAGTTTCAGCACTGCTAACAGCTCCACTGACGGCAGACGACAACCCGGAAGTAGCCGAGGCAGCGACGGATTCCAGTTTTTGCTTCCCTTGTTCAACAACTTCCTCCACCTTAGCCTCGACCTTCTCCACGGCTTCGTTAGCTTTCTGCTGCGCTCCATCAACAGCTTTAGCCGCAGTCTCTTCAACTGCCACTTTCACGCTAGACACCGCTTCTTCCGCCACGTTTTTAGAACTGGTCATCGTGTCAGTGATGACAGTCTGGGCGTTGTTTGACACGTCAGCAGCAGCAGTACTGGCACTGGCCGTGACGTCAGCTACACCCTTCTCGGCGCTGTCCTTCCCGCCCTGAACGACCTTGGTGAAGGCGCTCTGGCTGTGGGACACCAGCTGGCTGGTTTCTTGCTCGGCTGACTTAGACACATCAGCCGCGACAGTTTCACCCGACTTCACAACGCCATCCAGCAATCCACCAACTCCACCCACTCCACCGGTGACCGACACTTGAACCCCGTCAGGTCCCACTTCCGCTTCCCCCTTGGGCAGCAGCGCCTCGTCCTCCCCGTCCCGGGGTTTGTCCGGAAGTTGTGCATCTTCCTTCTTCTCCGATCTCTCCGCCCCTGACGAGCATAGATTCCCCATGTCTGGCGCCCGGTGCCGTTCTTCCTCTACACTCCAAGACTAGTAATCGATACTTTCTTCACAGTGTTCCTCTACACTCCAAGACTAGTAATCGATACTGTCCTCACAGCGATTCTACACTCGTCGATATCGCATAGACACGATATGATTACACTTCAGCCCTGCTTCAATCTGTAGGGGGTTGACTTAGATTTTCTTTCTAGGATCGAGCTAGAAAATTCCAAATTAAAAGTCTGAAATAATTTTTGCTGGAACTTTTAGAATGCAAGTCCTGTGGCCAGATAAATTCTGCGAATAAAAAGTTCCACAGAGATAAGAGAATAGCACAGAACGCATGCCAAATTTTAAGAGCTAAAATAATATAGCTAACATATACACGGAGCTTAAACTCATACCATACATACGGGCAACGTTAAACTCCAAACATTCGTGTGGCTGTCTTTTTTATACTTTCAACACATGACGTAATCACGACACACAAGTCAAACTACGACTGGCAGCACACTGCGAATCAAGCACCTAGCACCTGCAACAAGGCATGCCATTGTGACATGACAGTGACATGCCACAAGCCATGTCCCAGACACAGACATACTCCTGTCAGCACACCTGTCAGCACACCTGTCCTCTCACACCCCTGCACCTAGCACCAAGACCGCAGCCAGACAATACAAAGTCTGGCACCGCGCAGATCGTAGTTTACATATCGATTCATCGATCACTGCCGAGGCCGTTATAATTGCTTGTTTATGGTTTAAAAATAAGGTTAGCATTCATTAAATTAGAGGATCGATACAACATTGACGTGTAAAGTTGGCGCGCAGAACAAAGGAACACGGGAGTATCACGTGATTTACAGGTCACGTGGGTGACCCATGACTTTCGGGTGTCACTTTCGTCTGATATATTGTTGTCCATGTGATATAACATGGTTATGTCTATATGAGGTGTGTGCTACATGGTTATATCTATATGATGAATGTGGTACATTTATGTCTATGTTAGACGTGCAGTAAAGATTATGTTGTGTATACATGTACGGAGTAATATACAATACCCATAGCATTTGAATGTGTGTTGTGTAGATGTGTAGGTGTGCTAATTTTTGTGAATAAGTGTGTCAAAGTGTATCAGCGTGCTGCAATGATGAGTCTGTAAACAAATTGTGTCTAAATGTGTATTTCTTTGTGCTTTTATTTATTTGTTTGTATGTTTGTGTTTTTCTTTTAGCTTGTATTTGTACATGTTTATATGCGCTTCATGTTTTATGTATAATAGACATACAATATGCAAGTTCAGGTGTGAACCTCAGACACCTTTCAACTTAACAAGTTTTTAAAAAATTCTCCCATGGGTTAAAGACACAATTGTGTTAGGTGTAAATATTTCACCTGTGGTGCTGTCAATCAATACCTCACTACCACAACATACACTGTTGACAGAGGTTGTGTTAGGTGTAAATATTTCACCTGTGGTGCTGTCAATCAATACGTCACTACCACAACATACACTGTTGACAGAGGTTGTGTCAGGTGTAAATATTTCACCTGTGGTGCTGTCAATCAATACGTCACTACCACAACATACACTGTTGACAGAGGTTGTGTCAGGTGTAAATATTTCACCTGTGGTGCTGTCAATCAATACGTCACTACCACAACATACACTGTTGACAGAGGTTGTGTCAGGTGTAAATATTTCACCTGTGGTGCTGTCAATCAATACGTCACTACCACAACATACACTGTTGACAGAGGTTGTGTCAGGTGTAAATATTTCACCTGTGGTGCTGTCAATCAATACGTCACTACCACAACATACACTGTTGACAGAGGTTGTGTCAGGTGTAAATATTTCACCTGTGGTGCTGTCAATCAATACCTCACTACCACAACATACACTGTTGACAGAGGTTGTGTCAGGTGTAAATATTTCACCTGTGGTGCTGTCAATCAATACCTCACTACCACAACATACACTGTTGACAGAGGTTGTGTTAGGTGTAAATATTTCACCTGTGGTGCTGTCAATCAATACCTCACTACCACAACATACACTGTTGACAGAGGTTGTGTTAGGTGTAAATATTTCACCTGTGGTGCTGTCAATCAATACCTCACTACCACAACATACACTGTTGACAGAGGTTGTGTTAGGTGTAAATATTTCACCTGTGGTGCTGTCAATCAATACGTCACTACCACAACATACACTGTTGACAGAGGTTGTATTGATGTTTCTATGCTTGCTATACCCTGGCGCACACATCGTTTGAACTTGAGTGATTTACTTGAGGGATTTACTTGAGTGATTTACTTGAGCGATTTACTTGAGTGATTGACAGTTTTAACACGGAACGTTAACGTGTTGCCTGCACAAATCACGTGATCACCGTAAATTAACTCATACGAGAGATGTGTTGTTTTCGCATGATTTTTAAAAAATATTTTAAGATCAGTACGGTGACCTGTTTGATTTTACTGCTGCTATGATGTGTTTTTTAAAATAGCATTAAAAAAAAGTTTCTGAACTGACAGCTAATAATTAGGTCAGGTTCAAGTGAGTTCGTGTTCAGTGTGTGTTACAACTACACATCATACGTGCTGCTCATTCCCACTCGAGTTGAGTGAGTTTTCATTACACGTGTTTGGGTGTCAATTCGATGAGCAGTAAGAGGGGGAAGGGGGGGGGGGGTAGAAAATAAATGTTCTTGCAGTCATACAGTTTGCAGATATTGTCAAAGTTTGCCGTCACCCAAAGCTTACCCGCGCTGACAAAATTTGCCGATAGTGAGAACTATTTTTAAAGTGTGACTAAAACAATAAAGGGAAGACAATCCATACAAAAAGAAAATAAAATACTTCGCGTTGCAAGAACGAACATAATTTTGTCGTCACTCACGATTAAAACGAATTTTCAGTGAAATATTTCTGTCAAATCTTTGACAACTCTCACATAAACTACATCAGCAAAACGTATCCACACAAACTACAGCATCAAAATGTACACACCCTACACCAGCAAAATGTATTCACACAAACTACATCAGCAAAACGTATTCAGACAAACTACACAAAACGTATTCACACAACCTACACCAGCAAAACGTATTCACACAACCTACACCAGCAAAACGTATTCACACAAACTACACCAGCAAAACGTACTCACACAAACTACACCAGTAAAACGTATTCACATTACACGTCCAACTCCCCTAGCTAATAACTTGCTCATACCTTATTCATAGGTGCATTATCACGGCCGTAGAATGCACGAGAACTCACACAGAGGTGATTCTATATGAACACACCCAACTGACCTCAGTGAAGTCGTTACACACACTCCAGTATCAAGATAAGGTGGTAGAATAACACACGGCAACCATGAATGGCCGTGCACCAACACAACACTTGACGTGAGTACTCACACTTAATGGCCGTGTTTTCCCCACTCACATCCAGCACGCGCGCTGTTGCTACTTCAACGTGTGGGTGACAGCTTCCCCTTAAGCCGTACACTCCACATGTGGCGGTGTGATAGCCACATGTGGCGGTGTGATAGCCACATGTGGCGGTGTGATAGCCACATGTGGCGACGGGTTAGCCACACGGCACAATGTGACAACGGGGCCGGTATTAAAACAAAGCTATCACACACGGCACCAGATGTAGGACCAGATGTATCATCTTCAGGGCAATGGTAGCGTTTATATACTGGCTACAGGGCATAGGCATCGCTTGGTTAAAGGGCATAGGCATCGATTAGTTAAAGGGCATATGCACAGCTTAGTTAAAGGGCATAGGCACAGCTTAGTTAGAGGGCATAGGCATCGATAAGTTAAAGGGCATATGCATCGATAAGTTAAAGGGCATAGGCATCGATAAGTTAAAGGGCATAGGCACAGCTTAGTTAGATGGCATAGGCACAGCTTAGTTAGAGGGCATAGGCACAGCTTAGTTAAAGAGCATAGACATCGGTGAGATAAAGGGCATAGACATCGGACAATTTTTGTGCTCATTTACATCTGTATATGGTATGCGGGCCAACAAGGGCATATGAGGAAAAGGCGGAGTGGTAGGGCATATGGGAAAATAGGGACAATCTATGATTGAAACAGGGGAAAATCTATGATTGAAACAGGGGAAAAATCTCAGAACAAGTGAGACACATTTTAATGCAGGAAAAGAAAAGGTTTCAATAAGCAAGACGGGGAAAATCCTCAATTTAAAAAGCCATTTACTTAGCCGTGTGCAACAAATCCACCACACATTCCCACAGTGTGTGAGTGAGCCACATATTCCCACAGTGTAAGAGTGAGCCACACATTCCCACACATCTCCACACATTCCCACAGTGTGTGAGTAAGCCACACATTCCCAGTGTGTGAGTGAGCCACACTTCCCACAGTGTGTGAGTGAGCCACATTTCCTACAATGTGTGGGTGACCCACACATCCCCAGTGTGTGAGTGAGCCACACTTCCCCACAGTGTGGGTGACCAACACATCCCCACAGTGTGTGAGTGAGCCACACTTCCCCACAGTGTGGGTGAGCCACACATTCCCACAGTGTGTGAGTAAGCCACACATTCCCACAGTGTGTGAGTAAGCCACACATTCCCACAGTGTGTGAGTAAGCCACACATTCCCACAGTGTGTGAGTGAGCCACACATTCCCACAGTGTGTGAGTAAGCCACACATTCCCACAGTGTGTGGATGAGCCACACATTCCCACAGTGTGTGGGTGAGCCACACATTCCCACAGTGTGTGAGTGAGCCACATTTCCTACAATGTGTGGGTGACCAACACATCCCCACAGTGTGTGAGTGAGCCACACTTCCCCACAGTGTGGGTGAGCCACACATTCCCACAGTGTGTGAGTGAGCCACACATCCCCACAGTGTGTGGGTGAGCCACATATCCCCACAGTGTGTGGGTGAGCCACACTTCCCACAGTGTGTGAGTGAGCCACACATCTCCACAGTGTGTGAGTGAGCCACACTTCCCCAGTGTGTGAGTGAGCCACACTTCCCCAGTGTGTGGATGAGCCACACTTCCCCAGTGTGTGAGTGAGCCCCACTTCCCCAGTGTGTCAGTGAGCCACACATTCCCACAGTGTGTGGATGAGCCACACTTCCCACAGTGTGTGGATGAGCCACACTTCCCACAGTGTGTGAGTGAGCCACACATTCCCACAGTGTGTGAGTGAGCCCCACTTCCCCAGTGTGTCAGTGAGCCACACATTCCCACAGTGTGTGGATGAGCCACACTTCCCACAGTGTGTGGATGAGCCACACTTCCCACAGTGTGTGAGTGAGCCACACTTCCCCACAGCGTGTGAGTGAGCCACACTTCCCACAGTGTGTGAGTGAGCCACACATTCCCACAGTGTGTGAGTGAGCCACACTTCCCCAGTGTGTGGGTGAGCCACATATCTCCACAGTGTGTGAGTGAGCCACACTTCCCACAATGTGTGAGTGAGCCACACTTCCCACAGTGTGTGAGTGAACCACACATTCCCAGTGTGTGAGTGAACCACATATCTCCACAATGTTTGAGCAACAAAATCAATTTTCGTCAGCCTAAAATACTCGACCCCCCCCCCCCGCGTATACACGTGAATATAGTAATTAACTGCCGCCATGACGCACACAGCTATCGGCAGGAGAATTCATTAAATGCGAATTTACTGGGAGGAGAAAACTGCGCTTTGTAGTAAAACATCAACGCTATCAGCGATACGCCAGTGTATTTTAATCAAATACTTACTTGCTGTCATTATCGCTTGCACTGTCTCTATCTGACCATTTTTTTTTAAATTTTTTTTTTACTTTTTAAATTTACTTTTTTAAAATGTTTATTTTTGGTCTATAACAATTGTTTCACCCTCTCTATCTCTCTTCCAAACACACACACACACACATACACACACACACAAACATACATATTTACATACATATGATAGAGCCAGGGGAACATCTCAGGGCAATGGAGACAAATTTTATGAGCAGGAAAAGAAAAAAAATATGTCCAACAAGCAAGACAAGGGAAAATCCTCCATTTAAATCTCTTGCTTTCTCCTGCCTAGCGTCACCAATTTGATTTCTCCCGACACCGTGAAAACGCCGATGAACAATTACGGAAATAGCACGGCATTATTTTTGTCTAGAAGCAGGGCAACAGTTCCGGTGTGAGCCGCTTTAAAGGGAAGGGGGGTGTCTATTGACTGTTGGGTCAGGTGGGTCTAGAGGTCGGGTGGGTCTAGGGGTCAGGTGGCTCTAGGGGTCAGGTGGGTCTAGGGGTCGGGTGGGTCTAGGGGTCGGGTGGGTCTAGCGCCACAGGAGGACCTAAATAGAGGTGGTTACAATATAAGGCAGAGCTAGACAAACAAAACACAACGTATTAAATGATAACTAACATCAATAAACTAGATGTTTGTTACGGACCTTGATTGTTACAACTTTTCAGTGTTGTAGTTATAACATCACATACAACAATATATATATATAACTGTGGCTTTCACGTGCGTATATGTTGTAGTTACCACATCAAATACAACACTGATTAAAACACAAATCAAATAACTCTAAAGCAAACACGTTTACCAATACTTGCATCAGATATACGACGGGTATCCCCGTTTGTTTTGTTTATTTACAAAACTTGAAACACCACAGAAGGTAATCACAATGGCTTGCATTGGTCTTTTGTTTACATTGTGAACTGTACACGGCTTGGCGTAATGGGGATAATGAGTAGGGCAATCAATACAATAGGCAGTGGAGAAACAGCGATAAACAGAGGTGAATACAGTGACAGTGGTATTAGAAACAGAGACAGTTGTGGTACAATCAGAGACAGCAGTATTAGAAACAGTGACAGTGGTAGCAACAGCATCAGTTGTGGTACAATCAGAGACAGTTGTGGTACAATCAGACACACTTGTGGTACAATCAGACACAGTTGTGGTACAATCAGACACAGTTGTGGTACAATCAGACACAGTTGTGGTACAATCAGACACAGTTGTGGTACAATCAGACACAGTTGTGGTACAATCAGACACAGTTGTGGTACAATCAGACACAGTTGTGGTACAATCAGACACAGTTGTGGTACAATCAGAGACAGTTGTGGTACAATCAGAGACAGTTGTGGTACAATCAGACACAGTTGTGGTACAATCAGAGACAGTTGTGGTACAATCAGACACAGTTGTGTTACAATCAGACACAGTTGTGGTACAATCAGAGACAGCAGTTTTAGAAACAGCCACGTGACATAGATGTAAGTAACAAAATCGCCAGGAATATGCACGAGCCACTAGATGAGCTGTATTTAGAGACACGCATGTGCATTGGGTGAGCACAAGTAGGTCATGACCTGACGCGTCACAATAACACATACCAGCCAGTAGGTCTCAAGTTTGTTAAGTCTCACTCATGTAATCAAGTCACTACGGGTGGGGAGGGGGGGTCTATTTCTATTTTAAACCCATAGCAAGATTTCTGCTATTGTTTATTGCGACGTAGCAGTGAGACTGACTAGTCATACAACAAAGATCCCTGTTGCTAGCCATAAAACAATGACCCCTATTGCTAGCCATAAAACAATGACCCCTATTGCTAGCCATAAAACAATGACCCCTATTGCTAGCCATAAAACAAAGACCCCTACAGCTAGCCACAAAACAAGGACCCCTATTGCTAGCCATAAAACAAAGACCCATATTGCTAGCCATAAAATAATGACGTTATAGCTAGTCAAATATAACACCGAGTCCCATAAACCGCTGGAAAAAACAAAAACGCGACCCAAACATTGCCAACCCAGATTAGGGCACAAGGGGAAGTCACTTGCATGTAAGGGAAATCACTCCTTCCACGAAACTGCAGGGGCCATAAGCAGGGTTAAAGGCTTCCATTTCTTCGACCACCTATTGATCGATTGGCGTGTTATTGGGGTCGTCTATTCTTCGAGCTATCAATACCAATAACACTGCGGAATAATTGCATTAAGCGATGCATAAAGTGCAGTAGAAATTAATCGTTTAATGAAGTCTATAAATCAATAAACGCAATTTTAAATCAATTATAATTCTTTTTTATATTCACCGAATATGCTAGTTAAACTAAATTCTCAATGAATAGTTCGCCAATAAATTACCTTTAAAAAAGCTCTAATTTCAACTTAATTTTTTTAATAGCTTAGATTAACAAGGTTTTAGCAGGTTATAAAGTTGGAATTATTTTTTCATTAGATGAAGCCGTATCTGTGTTCTATATCGCTTCCTGTCTGGAGTCTTTGATGCTTTTGGGTCGTATGGCTTCATTTCCTGGTTGGCGTGTGTTTGTATTCTGGTTGCTACGGCAACCAAGGATGCTGGTTAAGTGTGCATGGTT